GGATAGATAGATAGATAGATAGATAGATAGATAGATAGATAGATAGATAGATAGATAGATAGATAGAGGGGTGTCTGGGAATAGATAGATAGATAGATAGATAGACAGATAGATAGATAGATAGATAGATAGATAGAGGGAGTGTCTGGGGACAAACAGACGGATGATAGGTTTGCTCATGCTGGCCCAGCAGGTTTGTTACCTTGTTCGTGATTCTCTCCTCTGCTGGCTTCGTGATTCACTCCCTCTCTCCCTGATGCCCCCGAGTGTCTGCAGGGATCTTGGTGCCGCTGGTGGCTATGGGGAGGTGCCAGGAAATGGGGCGGGAGGTGGGGGGGTCCTGGAAGTGGTGCTTCCCCCAGCTCTGGTCTCTGTCCTGGCACCAGGCTGCCCTCTGCTCTGGGCTTCTCCATGCAGCAGGGGGAGTGTAGGGGTTGTGGGGGCGTTGTGGGGGTCTGTGTGTTGAGAGCTGTTGTGGGGATTGGAGGGCTGTGTTTGGGGGGCTTGAGGAATTATGGAGGTTGCGTTTGGGGGGTTCTGGGGAGCTGTGGGGTGGGGGCCTGTGTTGGGGTGCTGTGGGGAGGACTGTGGGGCGTTGTTGGGGGGTCTGTGTTTGGAAGGATTGGGGGCTTGGATGGTTGAGGGCATTATGAGGGCTGTGTTTGTGGGGTGTTCTGGGGAGCTGTGGGGGGGGCCTGTGTTGGGGGTGCTGTGAGGAGGACTGTGGGGCACTGTTGGGGGCTGTGTGTTGGAGGCTATTGGGGGATTCGGGGGCTGTGTTTGGAGGGAATTAAGTGGGCTTTGTTTGTGGGGGTTCTGGTGAGCTGTGGGGGTGTGGGCCTGTATTGGGGTGCTGTGGGGTGGACAGTGGGGCATTGTTGGGGGATTGTGTGTTGGGGGCTGTTGGGGGCTGTGTTTCCGGGGAATTGGGGGGTTGGGGTAATTATGGGGGCTGTGTTTGTGGGAGGTTCTGGGGAGCTGTGTAGGGTGTGGGCCTGTGTTGGGGTGCTGTGGGGAGGACTGGGGGATGTTTTGGGGGGGCTGTGTGTTGGGGGCTGTTGGAGGGTTCAGGGGCTGTGTTTGTGGGGAGTTTGGGGGAACTGTGGGGAGTATGGGCCTGTGTTGGGGTGATTTGGGGAGACTGTGGCGCGTTGAGGGGGATTGGGAGTTGGGGGGTATTTGTGGGGGGTTCTGGGGAGCTGTGGGGATGTGGACCTGTATTTGGGTGCTGTTGGGAGGACTGTGGGGCGTTGTTGAGGGGCTGTGTTTGGGGGATTGGGGTCTGTGGGGGGTTGGGGGCATTATGGGAGCTGTGGTTGTGGGGGGTTCTGGGGAGCTGTAGGGTGGGGGCCTGTATTGAGGTGCTGTGGGGAGGACTGTGGGGTGTTGTTGGGGGCCTGTGTTGGGCGGTTGTTGGTTGGGGGAACTGGGGGGGGGAATGGGGGCCTCTGTTTGGGGGGGCCTGCTGAGCCAGCCCCGCCTCCATGAGGGGAGTGGGGTCCGTGTGTCCGTCAGCCTGTCAGTCGTCCATCCCCCCACCTCCAGTGCTGGTTCCCACAGACAATTAGATCCAGGCTCTCCCCCCCCTGCAGAGTCTCATATTTCCCCGTTAAGTGACTCAGGCCTTCCCAAACCAGGGCCATGGCAATTCCCCCTCCCCGGCTCTGCCGGTGCCCTTCACTCCCGACCCGCAGCCCCCACACTAGCCCAGCCCTGGAGTGGGCTGTGGCCGGGGCGGGGGGAGGAGGGGGGTTAGGACTACTGGCTTTACGCCAGCCTATGGAGCAACCCAACAAACTCAGCACACGGTGGTGGGCGCCCTCAGACCACATCCTCGCACCGACAGGTCACAGGGGCCGGGCCCATCCGCGGCTCTGAATCTACCCGTGGAAACACAAACAGTCGTTCGCAAAACCCCAACCCCAGGAAAACAAACCCCGTTAAAAACCTCTTGACTTAGCAAAATTCCCGGCTGCCTGGTGGGCAGAGAGAGAACCACCAAAAGCCACCGGCCGGGCCCGCGCCGGAACCACGTCGGCCTGACGCTGGCCGAGGAATTTCAAACGGAGCAAGGGAGGTGGGATGCCCTGGGGCGACGCCGCTGGGCTCCTGCGTCCGGTTCTGGGGCCCACGGTTCACCAGGGACGTTGGCCGGTTGGGGAGGGCTCAGAGAAGGGCCGGGAGGACAATGAAGGGGTTAGGAGACCGGCCTTAGAGCCAGAGGCAGGTGAGAGGCGCCGTGGTTCTCTTTTCCTCTGCGGGCTCCTAAAACCTTTCACATGCAGGCACAGACCCCTTGGGAAACGTTAGCCAGCGTCTCTGGGCCCCCCGGGGCCCCGCTGGCCACGGGTTGGCGAAGGGGTGAGTTGATCCTGTCTGTCCGTAACGACACGGGGAGCAAATAATCAGGCAGGAAATAAGGCGAGACTTGTGACCCGAGGGGGGGATGAACCGGGGGGCAGTGGGGGCAGTTGCCCGAGGGGTTGGGTGGAGTCTCGGCCCCCAGCAATTTTTAAATCAGGCTGGTTCGGTTGATGGGGACGGAAGAAAAGTCGAGGGGGTGGGGAGGTGTAAGATCACAAATGTTTGGGGGATGTCGATTTGTCGGCTGGATTTGAGAAGGGAAAAATTGTTGGAAGTGGCAAAAAATATTTAGCAAAAAGGGGAAACTCTGTGTGTGTGTGTGTGTGTGTGTGTGTGTGTCCATGCTGCCCCCTGCTGAAGGGGACAGGCCTTGCTTTGTGTGTGTGTGTGTTGCTATACAGCATGTTTGTGTGTTCATGTCTGTCTCTGTGTGTTACTATGTACAG